CAATTGGAAAATAAATTTAAAAAAATTAATGAAAGTAGTTTAAAAGTTTTGAAAAATAATAGAAAAAACTTAACAAATTAAAAATTATTTTTATAATTTGAATAAGAAATTAAATTTTTATAAATTTGTTTTAAAAATGTTAAAAAGTGACAATTTTTACATTAGACATTATTTAGAGAAAAATTTTTGAAATTATTTATCAAAACTTGGGTTTAAAATCACAATATATTTTACCTTTATACCGCCTTTAAACTGCTTGAAGTTAAATATATAAATACAAATACTTTTGCTTTTTTAACATTAATATTTATTACATTATGTAAAGTTTAAATTTTTATTTCATTTTAAATTTAAGGGACTTTTTTTTTTATTAATTTTTATTTGTTTTATATTTTGTGTAGTTGTTGTGTATTGTAATCGTTTTTTTTTATATATCTGTAAATCGTTAGACGCTTTATTTGTGGGATTTAGCTAAATTTTATTTTTATAATTTCCGTTTTTTTTTAACATTTTCGTTTTATCTAAATATTTGTATATTATTTTTTTGTTTCATAAAAAAAAATCATTTAAAACCCAAAACTTATTTATAAATAATACAAAAATTAATATTCAGTTCATTTATTTTTTATATATAAAATTGTAATTTATTTGTTTGTTTTTTTTTTTTTTTTTGTAAATATTTCCTATATATTTGTTTTAATCTTAAATAATTTGTTAGTGTGTTTTAATTTGTTTTTGTTTAAAAGGATTTAATGATATTTTAGTAAAACGAAGATGGGTTGGTGTTGCATGAGGAGTGAGTGTATGAGTTTAAAAGAAGATTTTTGTTTAGGTTTTAAAGAAATTAGAATGTTTTGTTAATTCTTTAGCTTTAAAGTTTCCAAATTGTATAAAATTTCGTTAAAAAAATGTAAAATTCTACTAGAGGTTCCTCAATATATCACCACACGTGTCGCCCCTTAGTGTGGACAATCAAATGGTGGCTGTCTAACGATCCCACTTGTGGCAGACGATAGATGAATGAGTGACTTTCAAGTACCACTTTCGCTGTACTTCCTGTAATTGTAAAATTTTTCTACAAAGGTCTTTAAAAACTGCAATGAATAAATGGATCCCACAAACAGTTGTGATATTAGGGTTAAGACTTTTCATTATATAGATAAGGAGGAGGTGGTAAACCATTCAGATACTGAGATGTTCTTGTATTTCTGATCTATCCAATGTTCTTTCACAACGATTACGGTCATTATTAAGTTTGTTTAATGGGGTTTGATTATACAGTCCTAGCTACCATTTAGTTATGAAGAACTCAAGTTAGTTGTTCTATATTTTCACATCTCTAACATTCGCTACTTCATCCTTTCCTACTCTCAGTTTCTCTCTGCCTTTCTTCAACTCTGTCTTCCGTAATTTCTTCTCTTCTTACAGTTATACTCATTGCGCTCTAACTGTACGCAAAAACCAAAATGACAAGGTTAGTTTTAATAGCTAATAGTTAAACAGAAGTGCGTTCCAAATTCAAAACCGGACTCTAACGTTCATTACGTTCAATAACGGCTTAAGGGAGGTTAGTTTTAAGAGCTAAAAGTTAAACGGAAGTGCCTTCCAACCTCAGAACCGGACTCTAAAGGTCATTACGTTCTATAGCGGCTTAAGAGAACATTGTCAGAAATTAACTAGTCAGAAAGCTGGAAATCTTTACCAAAGGTTAGTGAATCGGCTAATCAAAAGATTAGTCCATAGACTTGCCGAATAGGCTAGTATATAGACCAGTACATAGACAAGTAAATTGACTGATCCATTGACTAGGAGATAGACTATTATAGGCTTGAATAGTCTATAGTCAAACCTCTAATCTAGTCTATAGACAAGTATATATACTAGTCTCTAGTCTAGTATATAGTGGAATCTTTACTCTAGTACTAAGTGTAGTTTATAGTATAGTTAATTGCTCAGTATATAGTATAGTCTATACTTTAGTCTATAATCTAGCCTGTAGGCTAACTTAGTCCATAATTTAGTCTATAGTCTAGTCTATAGGCTAATCCATAGTCTAAACTATAGTTTTAGCTACAGTTTAGTCTAGACTAGTCTATAGTTTAGTCTACAGTCTAGTCTATAGTCTAGTCTATAGCCTAGTCTATAGTCTGGTCTATAGTCTAGTCTATACTCTAGTCTATAATCTAACCTGTAGGCTACCCTATAGACTTCCAACAGTTGGCTACAGTTTAGTCTAGACTAGTCTATAGTTTAGTCTATAGTCTAGGTTATAGTCTAGTCTATAGTCTAGTCTATAGTCTAGTCTATAGTCTAGTCTATAGTCTAGTCTATTGTCTAGTCTATAGTCTAGTCTATAGTCTAGTCTATAATCTAGTCTATAGTCTAGTCTATAGTCTAGTCTATAGTCTAGTCTATAATCTAGTCTATAGTCTAGTCTATAGTGTAGTCTATAGTCTAGTCTATAGACAAGACTATAGTCTAGTCTATAGCCTATAGTCTAGTCTATAGTCTTGTCTATAGTCTAGTCTATAGTCTAGTCTATAGTCTAGTCTATAGTCTAGTCTATAGTCTAGTCTATAGTCTAGTCTATAGTCTATAGTCTAGTCTATAGTCTAGTCTAGTCTAGCCTATAGTCTAGTCTATAGTCTAGTCTATAGTCTAGCCTGTAGTCTAGTCTATAGTCTAGTCTATAGTCTAGTCTATAGGCTTGCCTATAGTCTAGTCTATAGTCTAGTCTATAGTCTAGTCTATAGTCTATCCTATAGTCTAGTCTATAGTCTAGCCTATAGTGTAGTCTATAGTCTAGTCTATAGTCTAGACTGTAGTCTAGTCTATAGTCTAGTCTATAGTCTAGTCTATAGTCTAGTCTATAGTCTAGTCTATAGGCTAGCCTATAGTCTAGTCTATAGTCTAGTCTATAGTCTATAGTCTAGTCTATAGTCTAGTCTATAGTCTAGTCTATAGTCTAGCCTATAGCCTAGTCTATAGTCTAGTCTATAGTCTGGTCTATAGTCTCGTCTATAGTCTAGTCTATAGTCTAGTCTATAGTCTAGTCTATAGTCTAGTCTATAGTCTAGTCTATACTATAGTCTAGTCTATAGTCTAGTCTATAGTCTAGTCTATAGTCTAGTCTATAGTCTAGTCTATAGTCTAGTCTATAGTCTAGTCTATAGTCTAGTCTATAGTCTAGTCCATAGTCTAGTCTATAGTCTAGTCTATAGTCTAGTCTATAGTCTAGTCTATAGTCTAGTCTATAGTCTAGTCTATAGTCTAGTCTATAGTCTAGTCTATAGTCTAGTCTATAGTCTAGTCTATAGTCTAGTCTATAGTCTAGTCTATAGTCCTAGTCTATAGTCTAGTCTATAGTCTAGTCTATAGTCTAGTCTATAGTCTAGTCTATAGTCTAGTCTATAGTCTAGTCTATAGTCTATCCTATAGTCTAGTCTATAGTCTAGCCTATAGTGTAGTCTATAGTCTAGCCTATAGTGTAGTCTATAGTCTAGTCTATAGTCTAGACTGTAGTCTAGTCTATAGTCTAGTCTATAGTCTAGTCTATAGTCTAGTCTATAGTCTAGTCTATAGTCTAGTCTAGTCTATAGTCTAGTCTATAGTCTAGTCTAGTCTATAGTTTAGTCTATAGGTTAGTCTATAGGTTAGTCTATAGGTTAGTCTATAGTCTAATCTATAGTATATTCTATAGTCTAGGCTATGGTATATTCTATAGTCTAGTCTATAGTATAGTATATAGTCTAGTCTATAGTCTAGTCTATAGTCTAGTCTATAGTCTAGTCTATAGTCTAGTCTATAGTCTAGTCTATAGTCTAGTCTATAGTCTAGTCTATAGTCTAGTCTATAGTCTAGTCTATAATCTAGTCTATAGTCTAGTCTATAGTTTAGTCTATAGGTTAGTCCATAGTCTACTCTATAGTATATTCTATAGTCTAGTCTATAGTCTAGTCTATAGTCTAGTCTATAGTCTAGTCTATAGTCTAGTCTATAGTCTAGTCTATAGTCTAGTCTATAGTCTAGTCTATAGTCTAGTCTATAGTCTAGTCTATAGTCTAGTCTATAGTCTAGTCTATAGTCTAGTCTACAGTCTAGTCTATAGTCTAGTCCATAATCTAGTATATAGTCTAGTCTATAGTCTAGTCTATAGTTTAGTCTATAGGTTAGTCCATAGTCTACTCTATAGTATATTCTATAGTCTAGTCTATGGTATATTTTATAGTCTAGTATATAGTCTAGTCTACAGTCTAGTCTATAGTCTAGTCTATAGTCTAGTCTATAGTCTAGTCTAGTCTATAGTCTAGTCTATAGTTTAGTCTATAGGTTAGTCTATAGGTTAGTCTATAGTCTACTCTATAATATATTCTATAGTCTAGTCTATGGTATATTCTATAGTCTAGTCTATAGTCTAGTCTATAGTCTAGTTTATAGTATATTCTATTGTCTAGTCTATAGTCTAGTTTATAGTTCAGTCTATAGTACAGACCTAGAACAAAACTAGAACAGAACAAAAACAAAAGCTAAAGAATTAATTTTACACAGAATTATATAGTATATTGAAATACATATAAGTATTGTAGTATATATATTTAAAAGATTTGTTTTTTTTTTATTTATTTTACAAAGTATAAAAACGTATTAACTAAAAAACCAAACTAAATATATATGAATTATTTTTTTTAATAATTATGTTTTAATGTTAAAATGTCTTAATCGAAAATGGTTTGTTTGTGTTTGTTTTGCGAACTATTTTTTTGTATATATATATATTTTTTTTAAATTTTGTTTTATATATTGATTGTTTTATTAATTAATAATAAATTTTAATTATTATTAATAATAATATTTAAATAATATTATATTTATTTTATATAATTATTAATATTAATAATATATATTATTATTATAATGTATGGTAAGTTAATTATGTATGTATATAGTATAGTATGTATAAGTATATATGCTTAAATTGTGTTTTAATTTAATAATTGCCTTACATATATATAAAAAAAAAAACATATTTTTATTATATTTATTAATAATTGTTATATTAAATGTATATTTATATAAAAAAAACATGTTTTTAATGTTTTTTTCTTCTTGTTTTTAAGTTTTTTTTTAGGGTAAAAAAATTGTTTTTAGCAGTTTGTTGCTGTTTGCTCTCCTTCTGTCGCTCTTCTTATGTTTTGTGTATTCTATGCATTTTATGTTAAATGTATATAATATAATGGGGGTTTTTTGTTGTTTTTATTATATATTATGTATAAAATACATTATTTATTTAATAATCAGATCCAAAATTATTTACCTAAAGATAATTATTTTATCTTCTGTTAAATTCAGATTTGATAGCTGCAAAAGAAGGAACAATTATCAACTGTTAAACTTTGTCTACAGCAAACTTACCATCTATGATTTCTTGTTTAACTTTTTGTATTTCTTGTTTCATTTCTCTCACAATTTCAGCCTTTAATTGTTCCAAATCACTGCCCGATAATGCTACCGATAAGCCATCACCATTGACCTGCTGGTAGTCAGTACATATATTTATTATTAATCTTAGTTAGAAATTAAAATTCATTATTGTTTTTTTTTTTACCTTAAGTATCGTTTCTTCACTTGCACTGCCGAAACGTTTGCGCATGGGTCTGGGTGATTCACCGCCACTGTTCGATGTATTATTTGAGTTAGCATTTGAGTTGCTGGAATTTGAATTGCCCAATTTATGTGGCAGAGTATTGGATTTTTCCCAGGGTCTTTGTTTAACTTCGGGTTCCGGTTCGGGCTGTTTGAAAAACGCAAGAATTAGAACAATTTTTGAATTCCTTCTTTTCAAGCAAAAACTTCTTATCGCGAATATTCCGAGAATTATTTCTCTTAACTGAAATACATTTCACTTACCTCTTTCTTTTCTGCTTGAGCACGTCGTCGTGCTAACGTTTTGGCCATTTCATCCATCATAGAGGCCATGCCATTAGTACTGCGTCCAATGGTGCCATAATTACCGCTACCACCACTTGGAGTACTGCTACCGCTATTCTCTGTAGGGGCTGGGGTGGACTGCAATAGAGAAAAAATATATTTTATGCTGAACTTTACTAAAACTGAACTAGAACTAAACTAGAACAGAACTGGAACGAAATTAGGACTGAACAAGAACTGAACAAGAACTGAACTAGAACTGAACTAGAATTGAACTAGAACTGAACTAGAACAGAACTAGAACTGAACTAGAACTGAACTAGAACTGAACTAGAACTGAACTAGAACTGAACTAGAACTGAACTAGAACTGAACTAGAACTGAACTAGAACTGAACAAGAACTGAACTAGTTCAGAACTGAACTAAAATTGAACTAGAACTGAACTAGAACTGAACTAGAACAGAACTAGAACTGAACTAGAACTGAACTAGAACTGAACTAGAACTGAACTAGAACTGAACTAGAACTGAACTAGAACTGAACAAGAACTGAACTAGTTCAGAACTAGAACTGAACTAGAACTGAACTAGAACTGAACTAGAACTGAACTAGAACTGAACTAGAACTGAACTAGAACTGAACTAGAACTGAACTAGAACTGAACTAGAACTGAACTAGAACTGAACTAGAACTGAACTAGACTAGAACTGAACTAGAACTGAACTAGAACTGAACTAGAACTGAACTAGAACTGACTAGAACTGAACTAGAACTGAACTAGAACTGAACCAGAACTGAACTAGAACTGAACCAGAACCAAACTAAAACTCACCTTCTTTTTCAATTTTGCCTGTTGCAATTGAGCCGCCAAAGATCCCATTAAATCCGCCTGAGGATCATCTTTTTGGCTGCCATACCACCCATGGGAGGTGGTGGCGGTGGTGGAGGAGCGGCTGGTCCTCCGCCGCCACCACCCATTCCACCCATGGCAGGTGGTGCTGGAGGAGCGGGCGGCTGTGGTGGAGGTGGTGCTGCTGGACCACTGACAGTATTTGCATTATTATTAAACATTTGAGGCGCGGCACCACCAAATGTAGGTGGTGGTGGCGGAGCTGGTGCGCCAGCATTGGGAGGACCAACTGGACCACCACCAGTACTGCTCATGCGATTAAGTGGTGGTGGCATAGGTACATTACCACCGGGAGCACTATTCTGCTGCGGCATCATAGGTGGTGCAGCGGGCACCTGACCATAGGGATTCTCCTGTTGCTGTACCTGACCACCGCCATTCATTTGACCATAAGCATTTGGTGGTACGGGTGGTCCATTGGGCATGGCTGGCGGTTGGGGTGGTTGTGGTGGCATGGGTATGCCACCACCACCTGCGCCCACTATACCGCCGCCTCCACCCAATTGTGTTTGACTGGCATACACCACACTATTGGCGCTCTGTGAATTCGGTATACCTGGACCCAATTGTTGCTGTGAAGACACATATATTGGTCCGCCACCGTTTTGATTTTGATGCGGTGGCGGCATGGGAGGCTGTGTAACATTTGGTGGCATTACTCCGGTCTGCTGTTGTGAATATTGATGCATATTAAGATTGGGATTAGAATTTGATAGAACATAGTGGGATTGCTGATACTGATAGTTGATATTTATTGATATTTTGCATATGATTGAATGGTAGGATTCAACATAAAAGAAAGGAGCATAACAATAGTTTGTTTTTTGGAAATCATTCAGCCAGATTGTTCAGATTGTTTTATTGGAAATTGTTGTTTTTGATATTTTATACATTGATGGGTAGTTTACAAATTTGCAGGAAGTTTATTTTGTTCAATTTGATGATAGGATCAAGCAGTAGTTTTTTTATTTTATTTATAATTTTTGTTTTTTGTAAAGGTTGGAAAAGCATTCAGGCATGAAATGAAATGAGAAAAAAGGAAATAAAATAAAGAAATAATGAAAATTTAAATAAAACAAAAGTCTGTTTAATAAACCATGCAACAAATGTAAATTAAAGAGATTTGCAATATGGAAATACTTAAGAATTATTGCTATATAAGGTTAATATATATTTAAATTTAAGAAATTTTATATAAATATACACATTCAAATTGATTTACACTTCGAACTTTTTACAACTGGCTTAAGGAACTAAAACTGAATAGTACTGAACTAGAACTGTTCTAGAAAGAACGAACTAGAACTGAACTAGAACTGAACTAGAACTGAACTAGAACTGAACTAGAACTGAACTAGAACTGAACTAGAACTGAACTAGAACTGAACTAGAACTGAACTAGAACTGAACTAGAACTGAACTAGAACTGAACTAGAACTGAACTAGAACTGAACTAGAACTGAACTAGAACTGAACTAGAACTGAACTAGAACTGAACTAGAACTGAACTAGAACTGAACTAGAACTGAACTAGAACTGAACAAGAACTGAACTAGAACTGAACTAGAACTGAACTAGAACTGAACTAGAACTGAACTAGAACTGAACTAGAACAGAATTAGAACAGAACTAGAACAGAACTAGAACAGAACTAGAACAGAACTAGAACAGAACTAGAACTAGAACAGAACTAGAACAGAACAGAACAGAACTAGAACTAGAACAGAACTGGAACTAAACCAAAACTGAACTATAACAGAACTAGAACAGAACTAGAACAGAACTAGAACAGAACTAGAACTGTCTAAAACTGAACTAGAACTGAACTAGAACTGAACTAGAACTGAACCAGAACTGAACTAGAACTGAACTAGAACTGTACTAGAACTGAACTAGAACTGAACTAGAACTGAACTAGAACTGAACTAGAACTGAACTAGAACTGAACTAGAACTGAACTAGAACTAGAACTGAACTAGAACTGAACTAGAACTGAACTAGAACTGAACTAGAACTGAACTAGAACTGAACTAGAACTGAACTAGAACTGAACTAGAACTGAACTAGAACTGAACTAGAACTGAACTAGAACTGAACTAGAACTGAACTAGAACTGAACTAGAACTGAACTAGAACTGAACTAGAACTGAACTAGAACAGAACTAGAACAGAACTAGAACAGAACTAGAACAGCACTAGAACAGTACTAGAACAGAACTAGAACATAACTAGAACATAACTAGAACTGAACTAGAACTGAACTAGAACTAGAACTAGAACTGAACTAGAACTGAACTAGAACTGACTAATACTAGAACTGAACTAGAACTAGAACTGAACTAGAACTGAACTAGAACTGAACTAGAACTGAACTAGAACTGAACTAGAACTGAACTAGAACTGAACTAGAACTGAACTAGAACTGAACTAGAACTGAACTAGAACTGAACTAGAATTGAACTAGAACTGAACTAGAACTGAACTAGAACTGAAGTAGAACTGAACTAGAACTGAACTAGAACTGAACTAGAACTAGAACTGAACTAGAACTGAACCAGAATTGAACTAGAACTGAACTAGAACTGAACTAGAACTGAACTAGAACTGAACTAGAACTGAACTAGAACTGAACTAGAACTGAACTAGAACTGAACTAGAACTGAACTAGAACTGAACTAGAACTGAACTAGAACTGAACTAGAACTGAACTAGAACTGAACTAGAACTGAACTAGAACTGAACTAGAACTGAACTAGAACTGAACTAGAACTGAACTAGAACTGAACTAGAACTGAACTAGAACTGAACTAGAACTGAACTAGAACTGAACTAGAACTGAACTAGAACTGAACTAAACTGAACTAGAACTGAACTAGACTGAACTGAACTGAACTAGAACAGAATTAGAACAGAACTAGAACAGAACTAGAACAGAACTAGAACAGAACTAGAACAGAACTAGAACTGAACAGAACTAGAACAGAACAGAACAGAACTATAACTAGAACAGAACTGGAACTAAACCAAAACTGAACTATAACAGAACTAGAACAGAACTAGAACAGAACTAGAACAGAACTAGAACTGTCTAAAACTGAACTAGAACTGAACTAGAACTGAACTACTGAACTGAACCAGAACTGAACTAGAACTGAACTAGAACTGTACTAGACTGAACTAGAACTGAACTAGAACTGAACTAAACTGACTAGAACTGAACTAGAACTGAACTAGAACTGAACTAGAACTAGAACTGAAAAACTGAACTGAACTAGAAATGAACTAGAACTGAACTAGACTGAACTAGATGAACTAGAACTGAACTAGAACTGAACTAGAACTGAACTAGAACTGAACTATGAACTAGAACTGAACTAGAACTGAACTAGAACTGAACTAGAACTGAACTAGAACTGAACTAGAACTGAACTAAACAGAACTAGAACAGAACTAGAACAGAACTAGAACAGCACTAGAACATACTAGAAAACAGAACTAGAACATAAAGAACATAACTAGAACTGAACTAGAACTGAACTAGAACTAGAACTAGAACTGAACTAGAACTGAACTAGAACTGAACTAGAACTGAACTAGAACTAGAACTGAACTAGAACTGAACTAGAACTGAACTAGAACTGAACTAGAACTGAACTAGAACTGAACTAGAACTGAACTAGAACTGAACTAGAACTGAACTAGAACTGAACTAGAACTGAACTAGAATTGAACTAGAACTGAACTAGAACTGAACTAGAACTGAAGTAGAACTGAACTAGAACTGAACTAGAACTGAACTAGAACTAGAACTGAACTAGAACTGAACCAGAATTGAACT